AACATATGCAGGGTGCAGACACATTGGCAGGTGGGCAGAAGGGGACAAAGGTCTCCTCTTAGCTCTGTGGTGCAATGGTAGCGGTTTCTCCTTAGTCTATTTTGTTTCACTTGGAGGAGGGGTTTTTTTTGTTTGTTTATTTTTTTGGTGGGACTGTGGGGGTGGGAGGCTGTGGAGCTCTAAGCCAAGGGGCAAGAGCAGAAAGAAAGAGCATAGCACTGTACAGAAAGTTAACATATATGTTTTTGTTGTTGTTAAGTAGTTTCAGCCATGTCCAATGCTTCGTGACCCCATTTTGGTGTTTTCTTAGGAAAGATACTGGAGTGGTTTGCCGTTTGCCATTTTCTTCTAGACACCATTTTATGGATGAGGAATTGAAACAAACAGAGCTAAGTGACTTACCCGGGGTCACACAGCTAGTTTTGAGTTCATGAAAATGAGTCTTCCTGATTCCAAGCCCAGTGCTCTATCCAACTGTGCCACATAGTTGCCCAAAGATAAATAGGAATAAAGATTTCTTTCAGAATTCTTTGCATAAAGTCAAATTAGTGTAATGCGAATTTACAAAAAGAGAGAATTGTCTGTAGCTACAACTATGAACAACTGTTTACAGAAATAAAGAGATATCTAATACTGTGAAAAATATTAATAGTTCATGGGTAAGACAAGTCAACACAATAAAAGATAATACTACCTAAATTAATTTACTTACTCAATACCATATCAATTAAACAAATAAGAGAACTAGAAAAAAATAACAAAATTCATAGACAAAATAGGAAAAGAATTTTAAGGAAAAAAAATAAATGGTTACAAAGGGAGCCCAGCATGCTAGATCTGTATACTAGAAAGAAGTAATTCCTATCCCACCCCCACAAAAAAAATTGCATACTGTTTAAAAAATAAAGAACATGATCAGTGAAAAGGTTAGTTATACAACATAGGTAAGCAAATGTTTATAATAGCCTCATATTCAATAAACACAAAAAAAACAGCTTCTGAGATATGGATTTACAATTTTATTTTAAAAAAAAACGCAGGGAAAATTAGACAGTGGCACAGAAGAAATTAAAACACTACCTCATACTTTATACCAAGAAAATATCAAAATGGATACATAGTCTAAATATAAAAGTTCAAATCATAAGCAAATTAGAGAAACATGGGAAAAATGGTAATTTTATTAAGAGCTGTGAATAGAAGAAAAATAGAAGAACAATTCATAATCAAATAAGGGACAGAGAAGATAACAATAAAAAGTGGATCATTTTGGTTATGTAAAATTTATAATTTCTGAATAAACATATGCACTAAGGCTAAGGTTAAAAAAGAAAAAATTAGGGGAAAACATTTGCAGCAAATGTCTCTAAAAAAGTCTCATTTCTAATATATATAAAGATTTAATTCACTTACAAGAATAAAAGCTATTCCCCAACTGATAAATGGTCAAAAGATGTAAGTTAGTTCTTAAGGGAAGAGACTCAAGATATCTAAGCTATACGTAAAAAAATGCTCCAAATCACTACTAATTAAAGAAATCTAAATTAAACCAATTCTGAGATGCTACCTCACATCTATCAAATTAGCAAAAATGACAAAAAAGGATATAAATCTAGCCTGGCCATAATGTATAATCTTTCTAAAATGCTATAACTTACTTGTTAATATTTCATTTTGTTTTGAATTAACATTCATTAAAGATCTTGTTCGCTAATTTTTTCTCACTCATCTCTCCCTGCTTTAGAGAACAAGACTCTATTTGTATCATAAAAAGAGATTATAAAGGTGCCTTTTTTTAATGATTGCAATCTGTTTTTATAGCATTGGAATTAACTGTTCACAAGAATTCTCTTGTGAAACTAGCTGGTCCTGGAGTATTTTTCTTTAGGAGCATATTTATGGCTTGTTCAATTTATTTTTCTGATATTGGGTTATTTAAACAGTTGATTTTTTTCTTTTATTAATCTGACTATTTTATATTTTTGTTAAGCATTCATCTATCTTAGATAAGTTATCAGTCCATTAGCATAAAATTGGGGAAAGAGTTGTCGATAATTTCCTTTATTTCTTCTTCAGTTGTTGTGGGTTCTTTTTCATTTTTGATTTGAACAATTTGGTTTTCTTATCTGCCCCTGCCCCCCATTTTTCTCTAAGCTAATTATTTTATCTAAAACCCAGCTCCTAGCTCATCAATTTAATGGTCTTCTTTCAATTTTTTTAATCTCTTCTTTTATTTGCAGATTTCTACTTTGTTATGTAGCTGGGAGGTATTGATTTGTTGTTCAATTTTTTTTTAACTGCTCTACATACTGATTCATTCTTTGCCTCTTTTGTTGATGAAAGCATTCAGAGATAATAATTTTCCTCTCAGAACTATGTTAGTTGTCTCTCATACTGCTTGGCATGTTGACTCATTATTGCCATGTTCTTTGATGAAATTTTCTATAATTTGTTCTTTGGCCTACCATCAGTTCTTTAGAATCATGCTACTAGTTTCCAATTATTTTTTAATTTTTTTCTTTAAAGGCCCTTTGCTGAAAGTAATTTTTATTGTGTTGTGATCACTAAATGAAATATTTAGTATTTCTGCTTCTTTACATTTTTTTGGTCAGATCTTTATGTCTTGACAAATGGTCAGTTTTTGTAAAGATGCCATGTATAGCCTGGCAGCACACAAATCAATTTATATTCCCTTTCAGCAACTACCAGACATCCCTCTCTGATTTTTCTAAAGTTCTATTCAGGTCTTTAACTTCTTTCTTGCTTAGCTTCTGGTTAGATTTGTCTAAATCTGAAATGGATAAATTAAGATTCTCCACTATTATAGTTAAACTATCTATTTCTCCCTCTAACTTGATTAACTTTTCCTTTAAGTATTTAGATACTATGTTATTAGGTATATGTATGTTAGGTATTGATATTGATTTGTTATCTATGATGTCTTTCTTTAAATAGAATATAATTTCCTTGTTTATCTCTTTTATCATTTTTATATTTACTGAAATCATACAGCTACCTTAGCTTTTTTGAGTTTGGCTAAAATATGAGATTTTGTCCTAGTCTTCGAAGAAGTAAAAATAAGTATCACAAATAAAGTAATGGAAAGGTATGTGGCAGATAAGAGCAGGCTGCAACACAGAACCAATGAAAAATTCCAAAAATGAGGAGTAAAGAGATGTCATCAAGGAATCATGTGATATGAAGAGAAGAAGGATTAGTCAAGTGGCAAGAAAAAGAGATTACTCCACTGATACTCTAATGATGTGAAGAAAAAATAAGACCTGTGAATTTTTGGCAAAAGTCACACCGAGTAGACAATGATTAATGGGTTTCAATTTGTATCACTAAAGGGAACCCTCATTTGATAACAGATCTAATTGGATATCTGAGTGAGTATAATATAAGAAAAAGGCAGGGAATCCTAGACAGAAGTCAAAACTCAGATTTGATTTTTAGTCCCAATTCCAACACCTGACCTTGGTCAAGAAATTTGACCTGAGCCTCATTTCTTCTGTTGACCTGCCTTGCTTATAAGATTAATGTGTCAATAATAATAACAGCTGACATTAATACAGCCCTTTAAGGTTTACATGTACTTAACATATATTATTTCATTTAAGCTTTCTGTAACCCCAGAAATAAGTTATTACAGGTGTTACTGTTCTCATTTCACAGATGAGAAAGTTTAGTCTTACAAAGGTTAAGTTACTTACCCTTGGTCATACAGGTCACATAGGTACTAAATGCTGGAGGTGGGCTTTGAACCAAAGTTTCTCTTGACTCTAAGTTCAGAGTCTTTGCTGCCACCAATAAAGGGTAAAAATACACTGTACTATTTCTGCTTTTATTTGTCATTGTTGTAACTGACAATAACATATTAATGTTAATGAAAGGATTATTTGAGAGTCACAAGGTAGGAATGAGCATAATAAGGAACTTTAAAAAACATGAATAAAAAAATGTCATTAGAAATGCACAAGTGAAAAAGATGTATTGGTGTAATAGGACCACTGTTCCTATTTCCCAGAAATGAGAATAAGTTTTCCCTAAAAGGCAACAAAGCTGTCCTTCCAACTTTCTCTTGAAACAGCTTTCTAGTCACCCAAGGAGCTTAAAAAATCTCACCCAAAGAGAGTTGGGGCCTTTCCAATTAAGTAGATAACTGTAGAAAACAAGAATCACCATACTCTGCCCAGGTGACCAGATGTATTTCCACATGGCAGGGGATGGGCAAGGACAGGGGCAAGTCAAGAGAAACTAGTGCTACTGTATCTTTGCTGGGTTAGAGCAAAGGAAAACTCCTTTTCTTAACTATTTAATTATTTGCAAGTGCATAATTTTGCCCCAATATCAACACTAAATTAACAGGGTGCTGGTGTTATGCTTATCCCAAGCAGCTAGTCATAGGGCAAGAATAGTGAATAACAGGTGGACATCCTAACTCCTAATATTACCACTATGTTCTCACTAGTAAAGGAAATAGGCTGTCCACCTGTTACCCATTACTCTTAAAATGTGACCAGCTGTTTGGTGGACTAATATGTTGGGTGGACCCCCTGTGGGGAACTTATGGTTAGGACATGGACAAGAGCTGCACAAATGGGCAAGTCCGGATGAGTTAAAACCTGCATTATTGGAGAGAATGTACAAATCAATAAGATCATAGATCAATTTGAATATTTGAGTAATATTAATAAAATGCTACATAATATGACAACAGTATTTAAAACCCAAACAATATTGATAGGACAGGAGAATAATGTGACCTAAATGAAATAAAAATCACTTGGTTGAATGGTAGTCATTGCAAGAACTAATACACAATTTTTAAAACCAGAGTCTAAACAAACTAGATAAATGAAATAGAAAATTTTGCTATAAGGATTATAAAATATCATGAAATAAATATGAATCAAAAATGTTTTACAATTTCAAAATGAAAATATAACTTTGATAGTATACTACATAATATAAGTGAAATAAGAAAAAAGCAATCTTACCTTATTACTCTTTTCCAGTCAGATCTCAATTAAAATGGCAGTTCCATTTGGGGGCATCACACTTTAAGACGTTCTGAAGAACTTGCAGAAGAGAATGATGAAAATGATCATAGGTCTATCTTAAATAAGCTGTGAAAAAAAATATTTTAAGAGTTGGATTTTGTCAACTTCAAGGAGGCTAATGGCATACATAGGGGTAATAGCTTACTCACTTCAATATGTCAATAGTTCTGTGCCTTAGTAGATGGCATTCATGACTTGCTGTGGCCAAAATAAATTCATCCCCTGATGGTCAACCTTCTGGTGATGAGCACCTCCAAACATTGCTACAATGGTCCTTGGACAACAGGAAAACAGGACATCACCATGTTCACACTTAAAAGTTTTCTAGTTTAGTAGGTAGGACATGCCAGAGTATATACTACACTAGCATAAATTTTGAGAACCCAAAGATCACCTCTATGCCATAAAGAGGCACTGGCATAGGACTTTAGCTAAGGAGTAAGAATAACAATGATGGTTGACCATGCCCTATGGAAAGGGTAAAGTGGCTACATCTATACTTGTTAGCAGTTTGTCTAAAAAAAATTTCTGAAGATCAGTGGAGTACAAAGTGAGTCATCAATATAAGATAGCAACCAAAAAAGCTAATGTGAACTTGTGTCATAGATTCCAGGGATAAGAAGGTAACAGTCCTGCTGCATACTATCAACTTATCATTCAAAAAAGCATTTTGTTATTACTACGTACCAGAAACTTAGGATCCAAAGACAAAAATGAAACAAAATTTACCCTCAAAGAACTTATATTTTATTTGAGGAAACAACATGTACACTCATAGATAAGTACAAGATATATACAAGGTAAAAAGAAGGTAATTTTGTCAGTGAGAGGCACTAGCATTTAGGAGAATCAGGAAAGGCTTTATGTAGACAGTGGCCCTTCTGAAGGAAGCTAGGGATTATAAAAGGTGGAGGTATTGGGAAAAATGCATTCCAGGTAAGAGAGGCAGCCTGTGCAAAGGTGCAGAAACTAGAAACAGAATGACATATTAGGGTCACAAGTAGACTAGATGTGTGGAATATAACCTATATGAAAGCAAAATATGAAATAAGGACCCATGGGTCACGTGAACAAGATAGAAGAGCAGACATTTTCTCTAATCCTCAAGATCTCTCAAACCTCTCCAAAACATTAATCATGTGCCAAAGATAAAGCAACTTCAGATGTCTCCATGGTCTAGGGCACCCCAAATCCAAATAAGATTAAAAAAAAAAACATTCAGCACTACCTCCACCCCCCACCTCTTGGACTACCAGCAATGAGGCTGTACTAGCAGACCCAGGGACCAACAGGCTTAAAAACAAGGCCATCCCTACGACCTCATCCCCCTCCTTCTCTCCAGTGCTTTGGAGACCCCAGGCTCTAGGTTGCAGAAGTTTGCCTTGGCCATAACAAATAGCCTGTGACACTACAAGCCTTAAAAAACAACAAGCCTGACTGGAGTCGCAATCCCATAGCACAGACCCTGAATAGATCTTACTGTCAGTACTAGGGAAGACAGCTCTCTAGGGCTCACAACACCATTGCACCAGTATGGCAGCTTTCTGAACTGCTGATAGAGAACTGAGTGGAAGAGGACATCAGGGCAAGACACTGTGGGAAAGGGGGAAGAGGGCAACACCCCACCAAACCTGAGGACAAGAGCCCATGATCCAGCTGGGGCTAGTTCTGACCATCTAAAAGTCACCTGGGGAAGAGACCTAGGCTGGTAACCTGTTCATCACCCAGCAGGGGAGAAGTCTGAGAGGCTTTGAGATCCAACCCTCAAGGAAGCCACCACCATCAGATGGGACAAAGTCAGAAAATGGACAGGGGAAAATCAAGTGGGAAAAAAGACTGAAATTGCCAAAAGATCTCAGGAAGAACAAAGCTCAAAGGCATTGAACATAAGCAGATAAATCAGCAAGGAAAATATTTAACAATAAAAGGAAATATGGTTTCCAGATCTAGTAAATGGATCAAGCATCTATGAATAATGCAAATCAAAAGAAAATTATCCAACACTTGATGAAGCAGAGGACTCCATAGAATGTGATGAGAACATGGAACCACAACACACTGTTCCCAAGTAGTTCAAAAGAGAATGAGAATGAGAGAATTTATGTCAAGCACAGCAAAAATAATGGACAGAATAGAAAAACTGGAATCTACAATGACAAGTCTCGGCAAAGAAACAAACTGCACAGAAGTGAAGGGCAATCTAGAAGAAGGGAGGCAAAGAAATAATAACACTAAAAGAAAATGGGCTCATTATGCAAGCAAAACCTGCTGATCTCAAAGACAGGATGTAGAGATAACCTAAAAACCATAGGTTTCCTGAAAACATTAGAGTACCAAGGAAGGCAGGAAATAATAGAGAACTACCCAGAACATATGAACACAGAAAAGAAAATGAAATATTAAATAAAAGAATTCACAAATTGGGGATGGGGATGGGTAGGCAGAGGCAGCAGGGCTCAGAAAGCTCAGGCTGGACCACGATCCCTGACCCCTGATCCCTGCCAAGACAGGACCCACACTGCTTGGATTCCCGGCCTGTCCGTGGCCTTCTGGAGCTGCATGATTGTCGGAGGAATCTGCTACACGATATTCCACTTGGGCTTCCGTCTTGATGTGACATGGTTCCTCATGGAGCCATCACCCTACACATGGTCCAACCGAGGGACAGGGCTGGCCATCCCCTTCTCTGTTGTGGGAGCAGCCTGGGGCATCTACACCACAGGCTCATCTATCATTGGTGGAGGGGTCAAGGCCCCCAGGATCAAGACCAAGAACTTGGTCAGCATCACCTTCTGCGAGGCTGTGGTCATCTATGGCCATTGTCATCAGCAACATGGCAGAGCCCTTCAACGGCACCACCTCCAAAGCCACTGGGAGCCGTAACTACCATGCAGGCTATCCATGTTTGGTGCCAGCCTCACCACAGGCCTGTCCAACCTCTTCCGTGGTATATGTGTGTGGGCAATGTGAGCAGTGGAGCTGCCCTGGGTAATACCCAGAATGCCAGCCTCTTCGTCAAGATCCTCATAAGAGATCTTTGGTAGTGCCACTGGCTTTCTTTGGGGTCATTGTGATCATCCTTCAGACTTCTAAAGTAAAAATGGGAGACTAGGCCTAAAGCAGTGGGAGGCTCTGCCCTGCTGTGCCCTACTCTTAATTTTCCTGAGGGGACCTCGCTGCCCCAGCCAGTGGAGTGGCTCCCCTATGGTGTCCATACTGTGTCCCTCGGGCCCTTACTGCGATCTGCCCCTTCTGGTGCCCCTTGGAGGGGCAGGCCCTGGCCTTGGGTTGGGAGGACATGTCCTGTGCCCACCTGTCCTGCCCCATTCCCCACCTGTGTCTGTGCCTGGGTCACTCCCCCCTCAAAAAAAAAAAAAGAATTCACAAATCATCTTCAGGAAAAAAGAAAAAGTCAGCAAACTCTCAGACACATAGTGATTAAATTTATCAACTCAAGAGAAAAACCTTCAGATGCAAAATAAAGAAAATTCAAATAATGCAAGACTATTCTGAATCATAGAAAACATGGAAGGGAATGGAATAATGTGTTCTGAAGAGCAATGGAACCCAATATGACTTGTCCTGCAAATCGGTCTTAATCATACGTGAAAATAGATGGATATTCAATAATAAAGAGGTATGTGAAACATTTTAAGAAGAAAAACTAGACCTGAAAAGAATATTTGCTTCTCAAAGACCACAAATTACAAAAATGCAGGAGTGAATAAATATCACAGCCAAGGACAGCAACAGCAACAGTGACAGCAGAGAGACAAGTAAGAAAATTATTTCTAAATGTACACAATGAAAAAGGGATAAAGGCAGAAGTCTGGGGGAGATGAGCATGAAACATTGTGGACAGAACCCCTGCTGACATCCTGCCTATAGGTGAAACAATATTTTTTGTGGGACTACAATACTAGCAATATGAGAGGGACATGAAAAGGAGGAAGGGGAGAAAGGGGATATAGAGAAGCATATAATATTCCAGGGTCAAATAAAGTGCTAGCAATGACTTGACCTCTGTGGTCTTAGAATGAGAAGAGCTGACAGGGAAGTGGGGGGAGAGGGAGAGTATATAAGGGGAGGAAGATGAAAGGAGGTTTTACTTTGGATGAAAGAAGAAATTCCACATGAATGTTCCTATGAGTGATAAGAGATGACTTGTAAAAGGAGAAGAGGAGACTGTACTAGGTGTGGCCTGGAGGATTTGGTGCTTGACAAGTCTACTTGACTTCTGGAGTAGAGAGTTAAATTTCCTGGGGATAAGTGGCACCTGGGAAAGCATGGACCCAGGGAGGAGATTTTCAGGGACATATGAAAAAGATAACCAGAGGAGGGTATAGATCAGTGGTGGGGTGCACAATCAGGGATGTGATAAGGGAGAGGGTCCTAACAATGCACTGTATCCTTTTGAATACCTGCGATGATTGGTATCATTCTGGTGATGAGGCAAAATGGAAAAGGAAAATTCACTGGTCAAGACCTACAAGGCAGTAACAGAAACTATCTAGAGGGAAAAGCCTAGAATAGATACCCTGAAAGCTTTGATTACATAAGAAACAGAGAGAAAAAGAGAGATAAAATAATTACAGGGGTCCTAAATCAGAGAATGAGAGTCTTGAGTGGACAAACAGAAAAGATGAAAAGAAATACGTGAAAGAAATCTTTTTTGGAAAAAGCACAAAAAAATGAAACTTAAAAACTAATGAATAGAACAAGTTAAAGAAGAGGGAATCTACTTGACTGAGAAGGGAAAAGAATTCAATAACTGATAAAAGCAGTTAAGAAAAAGGAACTAACAAGTAAAATCCTAAAAGGAAAGGGGCAACAAATGAGAGAAGGGTATCAGAGGTGAAGGAAAGAAAACCAGTGGGAACAGGACCACCTTAAAAAAAGATTAAGATTAAGGTAACTGTAGGAACACAGTACTATATTTACAGCAGAGAAAGAAAAAAAATCTTAAAAAACTATTATTAGTGAAAGATGGGAATATATAAACCTAATTCATAACTTTAAACACAAATGGATTAAATAATACAATAAAATGAAAAACAGTGACACTGGATAAGAAAACAAACCCCTACAATCTTGCTTTCAGGAAACACATTTTTTTAAAAAAGACACAAAATAAAACTCAAGAGATGGATTTTTTTTTACTATGCATCAAATGAGTCCAAAAAAGCAGGTGTTACCACCTTGCTATCTGACAAAACAAAAGAAATTCAAAAAATAAATAGTGATAAATGAGTAAACTATATTGTGCTGAAAGGAAACACAGACAACAAACCAGTATCAATAATAAATTTATATGCCCCAAGTGCCTTAGTATCCAAATTAATAAAGGAAACAGTCTGAGATACCAGAAGACATAGATACTAACAATAGTGACAAGAGACTTCAATATCTCCTTTTCAGCTTTGGATGAGTCTAACAGAGAGATAAACAAAAGGGGAAATACTGAACTCAATAAAATGCTGGAGAAATTTAGATGTAACTGTAAAGAAATTCCTGAAGGAAAAAACTCACGTTCTACATAGATTCACAGGAGAATTCTATCAAACTTTTAAGGACTAGCCTTGACAAAGTACAACACTTTTATGCTAAAAATCCTACAAAGCATATGCACCAAGAACCCTTTTTTAATATCATAAAAAGCATCTAAAACCAAAAGCAAGCATCATGTGAAATAAGCATACACCAGAACCTTTTCCAATGAATACAGGAATGAAGCAAGGATTCCCACTCTCCCCACTATTACCTGATATAGGTAAGAGAGGAGAAAGGAATTAAAGGCATTAAAAATAGGCAAAGAGAAGTTTTTAAAACTATTTGCTGATGATATGGTAGTCTACTTAGAAATCCTAGGGAATTAGCAAAGATACTAATTGAAACAATAGCTTCAGCAAAGTTTCAGGGTATAAAATAAATCCTCAAAAATCAATATCATTTGTATATGATAATAATAATAATGATAATAAAACGCAAGAAGCAATAATAGAGAAATCTCTTTCTACATAACTATAAAAGGCATACAATATCTGGTGATCAATTTATCAAAGCATATGAAAGACTTGTAATTGATTCAATTACAAAGTACTCCTTAAAGAAATAATGAACAAACTAAATAGCTGGAGCAATATTCAGTGCTCGTGGTGAGGTGGTGCCAATATAATAAAAATGACAATACTACCAAAATTAATTTACAGTTTTAATGCTATACCAATCAAATTATCAAGGAGATACTTTACAGAACACAAAAGAAAAATAACAAAATCCGTTTGGAAAAACAAAAGATCTAAAAATAACAAGGACATAATGAAAAGAAGTAGGGACAAAGGGGGAATAGCCTCAAATTATATTTAATGTAGCAATTATCAAAACTATCTAGTATTAATTAAAAAATAGATCACTGGAACAGATTAAACCAGAGAGATTCAGGAAAAATAGAACTTAATAATCTACTGTTTGATAAAGTGCAAAATATAAATTACCTAGGGAAAAACTCATTTGATAAAAACTGCTGAGAAAACTAGAAAGCACTCTGGTAGAAATTAGGCTTAATCCAAAATTTTACATCATATTCCACAATATGTTCTAAATGAATATGCAATCTTAACAAAAGATCTGTATGGCAGAATAAAATAAAATAAATATAGAGCCAAGAAAACAATATATAGGAGATCAAGAAAGACTCAAATCAAAATGAGAGGCCACCTCCAACCCATCCTTTCATGGAGGTAGAAGATCAATAGGTGTTACGCACTGCACATTTCAGTGTTTTTCGATGTTCTGATCAGTTGTGTTGATTTTTTCTTCCTCTCCAAAAAATTACTATTTGTTATACAGGATAGTCTCTGGGAGAGGGAGAGAGTTGACTATTTGGTATAACTACGGTGATATAAGAAAAAGAAGGTACAAATAAAAACTTATTTTTTTAAATATGTGATAAAATTGAGATGGTGAAAAGACAGAGGGTAGAGCCAGATCATGAAGGGCTTTAACTGTCAAAAAAAAAAGTTTATATTTGATCCTAGCATAATAAGACAACACGAGCACAGGAGCAACACGGGCTATAATCTGCATTCTTGGAGGGATATCCGCCCACCTGGGAGATATATATCTACATATAAAAAAAATTACATGAGGATAACAGAAGAAACATTAATAATTTTTCAGATGTTATTTCTTAATTAACACTAGGACTTCATGAAAATTTGAAAGCTGATATTAATATTGAAAATATGATACTGTGATTCAAAAGTAAAAAAGTAGTTTAGAGTTAAGCATAGTAAGGTGACAGCAGTACTCATTTCTATACTACTTTTAAGTAAGTACTTATGGTCAGGTCCCAGCATTCCACAGTCTGTGAAATTTACATACAGAGTTTAGGGAAGCCAGCAAATCACTCCAGAAAAGCTGAACTTAAGGAAAAAAAGACGTTTGCAGTCAAATTAAAAAAAATTCTGACCACAGTTTACAGATAAAAACATATTTAACACTGCTCTCAAACTCTTGCCATTCATTAGTCACTGAAAGACAGGTAAACAACACAGACTGTTTATTGGGATAATTGTCTATTTTTTTAATCATAATAAATACTAGCAATTAAGATAATTATTTTCTAGTAAACACTCAGCTATCATTATATGCAATACTCTGTTGTACAAATTTTTCACTGTGTAATATAAATATAAATATATATATATATATATATATTATATTATGCTCTTTAAAAGCAAATTTCAATAATTGCAATGTTTTAAGTAGATTTTTAAAACAGGCCAACATACATATAAGGAGTATTTTTATGTATAGCATTTTTTATTCTCATTATATTTTTACTATCATATCTCCAGCTTAAATTTTCCTCTCCCAAAACTTCAATAATAAGCCTATATCCTCAATCCAGGTAAAATCAATTATACTAGACAAGTGATTTCATTTTTTTTATTCTCCATCAGAGACAGCTGAGGGGGAATAGTACTTATTGCATTAATTTTTATTATAAGATAACTCACAGAGCTTTTATTACAAGTATTAACAAATATAATTTCTTCTGGAACATTATTAACAGTGATAAGAATAAGGAGACAACTATATGTGCTAGCAGTAAATAGAAGAATTCATTCTGAAAGTCACAATGTAAAGAGCAATAAAGAGTCCCATGATAGAAGTGAGTAAGCTACAACACATTACCGACCAAGAATTGAGCAAAAGAAGCAGTGCAGAGCATACCATCAGAAAGGTGGATGACAAGAGGAAACGGGTTAGATACATGGTGAGAATAAGAAATACTCCACTACAGCACTAAAGGAAAGCCCCTAACATGCTGAGTAGGCCCTGTGTGGAAGAACTTGGGCAAGACATGATAAGCTGAGAAGGTAAGGATGGGCTATGATCTGCATTCTTGGAGAGAGTGCCCACAAGGAGGAGATACAGATCCATCCATGTACAAAAAAAATTATATAAGGATAACAGAAGAGACAATAATTTGTCAGACGTTACTCCTTAACTTCAACACAAGGATTTAATTTCAAGTTAAAAACTGACATCATGATTGTAAAAAAAAGATACTGTGATTCTATAGTAAAGAAATAATTTAGAAGTAAGAAAAAATAAGGTGATAATAGTACTCTATTTCTATACCACTTTTAAGTTCTTATGTTCAGGTCCCAGCATTCTACAGTCTGTAAAATTCACATATTTAGTTCAATCACTTCTGAAAAGCTGAAGTGAAAGAAAAAAGGTCTGCAGTCAGAAAAACACTCTGGCCATACTTTAGGGATGAAAATATGTTTAAAGCTATAGTCAACCTCTTGCCACTTATACTAATTATTATTTTCCACTGTCCTAAAGAACAAAAAGTAGCATAGAAAATCCTAAATTTCAAAGTATTTGAACATAATTTTAATCAATTGGATGAATTTCTGTTAATGATTTACTTATATTTATTTAGTGAAATAAAGGGATTCTTCACTTTAAGCAAACATGATATACAGAATCTGAATTTTTAAAATTATTCATTTAGGAAGGAAAATATTTATATATGCCAAAGTATCAAAGTTAAGAAATTTTCAGATTGGAACTTAACAATTTAGACATTATTAGATCTATCAGGGAAATGAGATCAGATATTTTTACTTTTTTCAAATAATTTGTTTAGATGAACAGAATTACAGGTAGTATTTATCACATATTATATTTTGCAGGGATAATTGATCAAATACCTAGTAATATTAAAAGTATAATATAAACCTAAAGAAGTAAACATTACATATATAAAATGTGATTATAAAATAGATCACAAAAAGAACATTATGGTATATTATATATAAACTAAGACACAATCGCTTCTTACTATGTTCATCACATTACATATATAAAATGTGATTATAAAATAGATCACAAAAAGAACATTATGGTATATTATATATAAACTAAGACACAATCGCTTCTTACTATGTTCATCTCAGTTCATTCTGAGTACTAAGTCCTGTAAATGTTATGTCCCTGTTCCATCTAATAGAGTCCTGACCATCAACTTCATCAGGTTTGCATACCTCAGACTAATTTTTAATTTAGACAATACAATATCATTACCTGGAATCCATCCTCTGAGGGCCTCCACTTATCTGCATGTTGTAATATACTCTATAGCCTTCCTGAGCCAGATGCTGACAGGCTGATATTGCAGAATATCTATTTTCAAAGGGTAGAATAACATCAATGACAGTGGCAATGCAGTTCTTATTATCCCAGATTACTAAGTCTGGTCTTAAAGCTTCTCCTAGTCTTGGAATTGTTGAATTTGCCCAAATCTCAGTTTTTTTCTGGCCCTTTGATGGTTCTAACAAGTCTAAGATACTATCATGCTATTGGGCAATAGTAGTAGAGTATATGTGGGAAAATTTCATTTCATGCCCTACCTCAATGAAAGAGCTTAGCTCCTGAGTCAAATCTTCTGGCCCCATTCAATGGGACACAGGCCAGTCTGGCTCTGTAAATGAAGTGCCAGACCACAAATCAGGTAAAAATTCCCATATAAAAAAAAAATTGAGGCCATAGCCATTGAGGTGATAGGATATGTTTTATGCTGAAAAGGTTTGCTGACTAGCTTCTATTTAAAATAATATCTTAAAAAAATATATCTTAGTGAATATTTCAAATTGCTCTCTACTCCTTCTAGAACCAACACCCAGGACACCATACTTTATTCTCCACTCAATTGAGATTTTAGAGTTGACAATTATCAGGAGGCTACTCATAACTGGGACCAGATGTTTGGAGCTACTGTGTCTTTGTATCCAAATTCTCCTTCCATAGAGCCATTTAAATAAATGGCGAGATCGTCCAGTTGAGGGTTACATTGAATTGTGTTCCTCCCTGTATCACTAGAAGTACAGTGAGGCAGTTGGCCCAGACTGGCTAATGCTAGAAACTTTACCCTATAAGCCACCTAATGACTGATGACAGCTAGTACAACTAGTGGTAGGAGGTTCACTCTCCCCAGATCCTATACTTTATATGGGAGATACAGGCACTTAATGTAGCTCTTTGAGGGGTGTAGCCATCTCCTGGCATCTTTTAAATTTTTCTGTCCAAGAGTCTGAGGGCACTCTTGGGGACCACACCATTCTTAAGACAGAATGATATATAGATGCAGGATAAGAAAAAAGTATTTACTGTGTCCGTTTTCTGATAAGGAGACAAATTAGACTGGTCCATTAGGTCTAAGTCTGTGGTCATCAGTTACTGCATCCTTCACAGAATTTACAGTGTGGAACCCCATAGGAATTCCAAGGTAAGAACAGGTGTTAAACATCACTGAGATCCTCCAACTCTGAATTTGGAATTGTATGGGGAATTCCTTCTTCTTCTGGTCATCGGTCAATAAGGTTGTACATTTGGTCTCATTAAAAATATATTGGCAACCTTACTTATCCCGTTCAGCATTTTAGTCAGGGAGTCAAGGATGTCAGCAACTATGCCTAAATCATCTGCATAAGACGGGACATTAATTTTCCTATTGTAAAAATCATACTTTAAGTTCCTGTAAATATCAGAGCATGTATTATCATTTCTGGTGTTATTAAAAACTATGAGCTTAAGAGGGCAGCTTTGCCTCACTGTGGCTGGATGTTAATGCCTAGTGTAAGGCTATGCAGATAGAGTTCGTGCTGTCCTGACACAGTCCATAACATTAAACACCTCTTCATGCAAACCAGCCCATTTGAGTGCTAACGATACTGTTTTGTGTGGCAGTGAACCAAATGCATTGGTTGGAGTGAGCCAGGACACACCACACATTTTCCTTTTATGTTTGGCTTCATCCAATATGAACTGCAATAAACAACTGCCGGCTGCAGCCATCAGTAGACATGAAACCCTTTTGATTCCCAATGATGCATCCATTGCTTATTCTCTAATCAATGAGTCTTTTAGTCATGGTGGAAGCATAGACTTTACCCATGGTGTTTACCCATGAAACAGGTTTCCAATTGGATGATTCATTCCTATCACCTTTTCTGTAAATTTAAATAGTCATAGATTACTGCCACTCTGGGAAATAATTATACTGATAAATTAGCAATAGTAGTTAAAATATGTTCCTCGGCATTAATCTTCTTCCATATTTTATTCCATACAGACCTGGGGCTGCATACAGACATTTTAATCAGTCACATACCCCAAATGGAGTAAATGGATCACAAAATGGGGTAAATGGATCACAAAATGGGCTCCTTAACTCAGCAAGAGTGACTATAGGAGGGGTGGCACTGGGCCTGAATACTTTTTTAAGAGTATTCATAGAATGTTATCTGGAATATCAAGCCTTCATGAGTTACCTATCTACAAGCAGGTTGAGTGATTAGCTCTATACAGTTTTCACAACCTAAATTATTAGTAATAACACAAAAAGGATTTGACTAAAAATGAGGAGAGTGGGCATTTCTGCTGTATGTAATTCAGTTAATCTTTCAGGGTCCCAGTTTTCTTATCTGTAAAATCAAGGTTTAACTAAATTACTATTAAGATCATTCCTTCCCATTCTAAAATTCTGTGACTCTAACTACAGTAAATATCAACCATCTATTTACTTTTCAGAACCTTGCCTTATAGGCAGTTTTTTTCCAGAATACACTATTCCATAAGCATGAGATACCAGTATTAAAAAAGCTTCTTTCTTTTACTAACATCTGCTACAGAAGAGAATACCAAGAATATTTTGTATGGTAGCTAGTCCCATATTAAAAATTAATCACAGCTCAATCATAGAAAATTGAGAAATCATTATGTTTTAACAATAGCTAATAATAGCCAGTTATATAGCACTATAAAGTTTTCAAAGCACTTTACAAATCTCGTCTCATTTCAACCCCACAACAACCTGAGAAGTTGCTGCTATCATTACCATCCCTATGTTACAGATAAGGAAGCCAAGGCACAGAGAAGTCAAGTGACTTGCCCAGGGTCACATGGCTAGTAAGGATCTTCGGCAAATTTTGAACTCATCTTCCAGACTCCAGCTTTACCATTCTATCCTGCACTCATAGTGGTGGTGGTACCACCAACAATCCCACCTAGTGGCCTATTATATCACATTAAAATGAGAAACCATGTTTGGTGTAAAAAATAACTCCAAGGCATCTAAGGTTAGAAAGAAAATAAGGCAGGCCTGCACAACATACAGACCAAGGGCCAGGTTGCAGCCCATCAAAAGATTTCAGGTGGCCCACAAAAAAATGTGGAGGATGTAAAACAGGCTTTTACAACATACTTCGGGCTGCTTTGGCATGCCACAAGTGGCCCTCAGGCCATATGTTGCGCAGGCCTGAAATAAGGCTTCAGTTAAAGGTTGTTGTTATTGTTTGCCCTTTGTTCTCCAAGAGGACCATGACATCAGGAAGGTGATGCCATGACTTGCAAGTGAATTGGATTTAAGTGAGGAAGGGCTATGCAAAGTGACCAGTCTCTCTCTCCTTTGGAGAGATCTGGGTCCAGTGGCAGGATATATACCAGGACTGGAGATGGCCTCAGATGCAGTGGGAGACCTTGGCCTCTTTAAGTTAAGGTCTTTCCTAGGTCTCAGTTTGACAAAGGCAATGCTCATTCCATGATTAATGCTAGGTAAGAAATGAGACAAAGAATGGCCTCTTTTTCCTAGTCAAAAAAAGGAAAAAAAATCAATCTGGGAGGGGAAGACTCTCAGGACTTCTGGCCAAAACAGAAACAATTGCTATTCACACTCACTTGGAGCCATCAGGGCCCAAGCAATGACCAAGTGAGGCTTGGGCTGGAACCTATTGTTGGCTAATCAATGACAACCAGAGTAATTTGAGTTTAAGGGGTGGTCCTTAAGAAGGAAATCCAGCCCTCAAGTTAAAGAATGCCATAGTAGAGTACCTAAATACTTAAGCTGGAAAACTGTTATAGCAAGAATGATTGGCCTTTTGGCTAGAAATACTGGAAAAATTTCAGAAATTGCAGGTTTACTACAAAATCAAAAGACCTACAAAAATTGAAAGGTGGGTTTCACATATACCAAAATGGTCATAGCAGCATTTTTTTTTTTGTTAACAAAGAGCTAGTAAAAATAAGATGTCCATAATTTAGAAATGACTAAACAAATTATGATACTATCTTAAGTCCCAGAACATTACGGATCCTCCTAGAATGCCATTTGCTAGAAGTTTGAAATGTTGTCTTTCAAAGGATATAAAGCTATATAGCAAATGATGGTATAGTAACAGGCCTATTAAAAACCTGAATTGAATCTTTAACACTTAAAGTGTTATAAGAGTTGTATCGACTTAACTTTAATGATTTAAAATACTTTAAGGTTAACCACCATTAACAGAGAAAAAAGCCCACTCTGCAGCATGAAAGTTCAAGAAGGGCAATTTCTAAATGTTAATATGAACTAACATTTTCACATGAAATAATTTGTTATCTTCATGGCCTCAATGAGGCTGGTATCTCAAAGATAAAGTGTCTCCCATCTATTATTAAAGATTTCTTGAAAGCTTTAAAAACACAAATAAACTTTCTGAAAATATTTATCAATCAAGGAATAAAACAAAGATGTATGTTCTCCAAAAGTCCACTATGATAGAAGAGGAGATCCAGCTTGGAGACCAAACTAAAGAGTTCCTTGTAGATAATAAGGAATTCCAGATGCTCCTATTTGCAGATATTACGATGAATGCTTCAAGTCCAATAACACCGTAAATCCTCCCAATGACCTATAATCGCTCAAAGAAATCTGACCTAACCATCCATACTAGAAAGAGCAAATGGATGAAGAATTTTATTACGCATTTGGATGACACCCTATAGAGTCTGTCCAACAATATGTATGTCTGAAATATCAGACAGGGCACAAACTTGAATAAGAGGAAGAGAACAGGCCGGACTGCTTTTTGGAAACTGCAAAACTCTTTTACAGACAAGAAGGTTTTCATGAAAGCAAAGCACCATCTTTTTAATATTACCATTTACCAGTGTGGTTATAAGGCAGCAAGACCAGGCACACTACTGGCTCTCAAAAATTAAAATGAGTTTCACATAGAGGTCAATGAACATCACATGAATAGTGTGAGCATGCTGCAATAGAATTCCAAAGAACAAGAATAAATATGTTTTCAAAGAATTGAAGAATAGGAAGACAGGCTGGTCACATAACAAAAAACAAGGTCTGAGGTGAACAGAAGTGAGATCCACTGTCTTCCTACGGCAAATTTGATAGGCCATCAGTATCAGTATCATAATAGCTAGTGTTTATATAACATTTTAAGGTTTGCAAAGCATACCCAAATCAAAGAGATCACAAGTCCATTTGAGTATTTATCTCACAGTAACTGAATGCCAATAAATTCGGGTATTTCTCAAGAGACCTGGATTGTAAATTGCAGTTCCTGGCAAACTCAAGGCTCTTCAAAAATTGGGCCCTTAAAAAACAACCTTGAATGGTATGTCTATAATGCATTGACAAAACAATGTCTAGATTTGCAATTTTATAGGGTGCTACTAAATGTAGCAAGCCCCAGAACACTATAATACTCAGTAAAGTTCACAGCAATGTGAGTGTTCTAGTCACATACACAAAGACAAACTGAATAGAATTTACATGTTACCTAGATTATAACCATCTAGATGGTTAGGTCATCAAATTAGTCCAACGATGGACTTTTTTTCAGTAGGTTATAAAAAGGGGACAATAAGATGGTCCTATGAGGGAAAGACAGGGCTGAATCACATGTGGAAAACTGCATGTTTTCAAGTATCCTAAACTGTTCACTGAGGCCTAAGTCTGTCTCACACCACTGTTATCAAAACGATACATGAATTAGAAGAAGTACAAAAAAATTCTTGAGTCACACAAGTAGTCAAAGGGCAATGGAAAGACTAATGATAACCTTAAGTAGGCTGTAACATATATCTATAATCAACAACGCTAGAAGTGGCATAAAAAAAACATCATGAAGGACATGTATGAACAGAAAAAGAGGTGAGCTAATCATGTAGAAAGAATGAAGAATAACAATCCTAAGTGCTGAAAATAGAGGCTTTCAGCACACAGTATATGGGTTTTAAGGGAAAATACGGCTAAGAATTACAGGGAATCAGATGACCAGGAAGAAACCTGAATTGATAGGAGTATTCACAGCAAAGAAAACTGGGCAACATCAAAGTACTCTTTAGTGCACCAAAAGTAACTCACTCCAAGAATCTAAAAAGCCTTCATCACAGTGCCTACCTCTTTAGTAAAGAATAATGACTCATGCTAAATAACACAGCTGTCCAAAATATTAATCTGTGCAAAGTTAATCGGAATTTAACTTTCCCAACCATTTCTCCTTCCCCGTGAGCCCAAAATTTCTATCCGGCATAATAATAATAATCTGACTTTTACATAGTTTGCATAAGCCATCAGCTACCAAGTATCTTAAGTGGATTTAAACGAGGTATTTACACACTACAACACGTGCTGGGTGAGGATATTGTCTCTTGCTGTGAAACTGATTTATATTTTTGTAACTTGCCTTTGGCCACGCCCACGGCCTCAAGAGACTGGCCAAAGTCTGGTTACATCTTTAAAAGCCTGGTTTTTTGAAGGAGGAGAGGGAGGGATAGGAAGAAAACTGTAGAGAACTAACTTTAATTGTAGAATAGAAGTCGGTTTCAAAATGTGTCAACTATGCAATCTGCTGCCTCCTCTGAACGTAACGAGAAGATTGCCAATTTTTCACAATACATAATGAAAAATGAAAACAAAAATCTGTCAATATAAACAAATCACTACATAGTGAGATTATTTGTATCCCAAAAGAAAAAATAAATTAAAATGCTTTACCCATGGAATCCTACTGGTTTTAAGTAATGTCTGCCACCCCGACTAACATCTCTCAACCTCTAAATCACTTCATTCCCAGGACAGACAGGCTGAAACGAAGGAAAAAAACCTATTTGTCAGGAATAGACCCAGGGACACCCTAAACAGGCCCTCGTCCTTTTCATACCCTAAGGGAAAATAAGGAAACGGGGCGGGGGGTGCAGCCCTCCTCCCAACTCCCCCCAGGCCTCAGGGTGGCCTCCTCCCACTACCCCCACCCCCCGCTGCGCCCTGTCCATTAGCGCTGCCCTGGAGGGGGAGGCAGCCAGGCAGAGCAGCTGAGGGAGAATGGGGGGCACTGGCAGTGTGTGGACCACGTACCCCTCGGCCGCAGACACTAAGTGACCCCCTGACCCAGCAGCCGGGACAGGGCGGGGCGGGGGCGGAGCCATCTCCAGCCACCGCCCCTCCCCCCTTGTCTGGCACCCCCTGGGGCCCCAGAGGGGCAGGCCCGGGCCTCCGCCCTCGGGCCTCTAGGCTCGCACCCCACCCTCCACCCGAGAAGCCCCTCACCTAGCCGGAGGGAGGGTGGGCAATGGCTAGGAGGTGGGGGGGGAGTCGGAGAGGAGGAGGAGGAAGAGGAGGAGCCCCCGCCAAGGCCGCCGCCTTCGCAACCGAGCCCCAGGCGCCCCCCAGAGGGCGCGGGGTGTTGCCCCAGCTATGGGTTCGCCCTCCCCGCTCCCCCAGCGTTGCCCGGGGCGACGGCGGGCGCGCGGAAATGCACCTACCTAGAACCTGACAAGCAGGAGCCCCTCAGACCCGGAGCCGTCAGTCACCACCCCGCATCACGGGGACCTGCGCAGCCAATGGGAGCCGCCGCCCCGACCCGCCTCGACCAATCCCGTAGCACTCCGGCCTCTGGGCTCCCTCGAGCTCAGAGCCAATGGGTGCTGGCGAAGGCGGGAAGCCTTGCCTCTCTACCCAGCCCCGGCCTCCGCCTCCGCTTCCCTGGAGGCGGGTGCGGCCGATTGGCCGAGGCCGGGGAGGGGGCGGGTCTGGGTCGCGGTGGGCTCTCCGAGAAAGGGCCAGAGGGCATGGGTGGGGCGCCCCTGGAAGGAGTTAGGGAAGCGGGCGGGGGCTTCCCTCAGTCTGCGGGGCTGGCAGGCCGGGTCCTTGCCGCCGGGCTCGGCCTCCGAGCCTGCTTTTCTCCGGCTCCATACTCTCTGGGCACCGCGGGGGGCCAAGGTGGGTCTTGGGAGCAGAGATCTGGAGGGGACCCCCCATTTTACATATGAGGGGACTGAAGCCCAGAGAGGGGAAGTGACTTGCCTAGGGTCAAGAAGTAGCCCAGTCAAGATTTGAACCCAGGTCCAACGTCTCCAAAGCCAGCCCCCTTTCCACGACACTAGGCATGTGGGGTCCGGCCTAGGCAGTGGCACCACAGGGACCTGCATGGTTCCCCACTGGAGCGCAGGGAGGCTTGGGTGAGGCAGGTAAACTAAAGCCAAAAGGGGAAGAAGCCGCGCACATTGTACCTTAACATTTCCCTCGGCCCCCATCCCCCACCGCACGATTCCTTAGGGGAAATCATAGGATTTATACCGAAAAGCGATTTAAAAGAGCTTCTAGCTCAGCCCTCTAATTTTGCAGAGAAGACCCAGAAAAATCAAGTTATTTAGCTAAATTCATACAGACAGAGTAAGTGACAGAGCAGAGGCTTAAAACAAATTCCTCTGTCTCAGAAGCTTCTCCCTAATGCTGTTGAAGAAAGAATGCTAAATTTGAGAATTTGTAGTTTCTGCTCCCAAAAGGTCCCTTAAATGAGGGCCTGAGGACCTGAGAATCTAAGCTAGGCCAGCTAAGGTGCATAGACGAGCAGCAGCCTTTCTTGAACTAAGGGGAAAGCAGGGGAGAGAAGTTCAACAAAGCAAAGGTAGTACAAGGTATTATGTGGAAGAAAGTCATATAACATGATCTGTTCAAAAACACAGCTCCTGGAAGAGTACTAATTTTTAAATCAACTTGTTTTAGGTTAGGCAACACCAAGTTCTAGCAAATCTTTCAAAAAGGTGTCCCGTGCTCCCTAAGAAAAAAAGAAAATCACGATGTGTATTTTAATTCCAAGGCAATAGTGCTTTTTGGCTATTGTGTCAGTTCTAAAAAGGAGAAAGTAAATTAGTAAACCTAAGCAAATTTTGACTTGAAGTCCAAAATAATATGAGTGAAAAATGAGAGAAGGGAAAGTGGATCACTTTTGTTTTGAAAGTTTTCTCAGTCATTCCCCATGGCTCACTGGTTGAGGCAGGGGAGTTATAATACTTATTGCTTCCCATTGCCTCTTCCAGGTTCTCTCCCTACCTCCATCACTCAGTATCCTTTCCTCCTTTTGAGGTCCATACAATCTATATTTTCCACCCAATCAAAATCCTGGTCACTGTTGTCTTCAGACTTCCAGGGCAGCCTTTCAGTCCTCAACAAATTCAGTACCTGAGTCTCAATCTTTCTCTTCTCCCCAACTCTGCCCTCATACTAGAGGACTTCAACATACATACTGACACTCCTTCAAACACCCTAACCGCTCAGTTCCTTAACCTACTCACTTGCCACGACCTACTACTGCCCCTTAATTCCCACCTCAGCCACACACAAAGATGGTCATACCCTCCATCTTACCATATCTCACAAATGCACCAATTCCATTTTTCCAAGAACTCTAAAATCCCATTAGCTGACCATCATCTACTGGCTTTCCACCTCACCCTGCCTTCCCTTACCAAAGTCTTGGTTTATACTTCACTCTCCCATTTCCCAGCCCCTCAGTTCTCTTCCAGGCCATCTCCCCTGTACTAATTACTTTCTCTTCTTTCCCCTATCTTGACGCTCTGATAAACCAGTTCAACTCTACACCTTCCTCTTCTCTTGAATATCTGGCCCCCTTATATCTCTGATTGTACTTTGCCAAGCCTCAGCCTTGGATCACTCCCCCCATCAGAGGCTTTCACATGCACAGGTGAAAAAAATCACAATCATTCCAAATGGATCCACCACAAATTTATACAATCTCAAGTAAGCCCTCACTGCTGCTAGGCAACAGTTCTATACCTGCCATATCAGCTTATTACCCCACTCTCCATAGCAGCTCTTCCAAACCTTTTTATCCCTCAAACTTCCCCCATTAGTTTGTGAGCTCCTTGAGGGCAGGGACTGTCTTTTGCCTCTTTTTTTATCCAGACCACTTAGCACAGTATCTAACACATAGTAGGTGCTTAATAAATGTTTATTGACTGACTGACTCAACTCAGACCCCTTATTCCTGGACAACTTATTACTGAATTATAATGTCTTTGTAATGGGTTCAAATAGGATTTATCTATTTAGTATAGATTTTGGGAGGTGAATTTGGACATTCTATGTGTTGTACTTTATGTTAATAAAGTCTTTGATTTTGGGGGGGAAATTGTTTCTGGAAAGTCTTTATTGTGCTTTTATGTCCATAATAATAACTTCTGTTTACACATGCATTAAAATGCTTTAAAGTTTCCAAAGCATTTATGTTTTGTCATTAGTACCTAAAACAACCCAGGAGTTGTCTCCATTTTACAGGTGAGGAAAGAGTCTCAAAAGAAGTTAAGATCATTCTGTAAGTATCAAAAGCAGTATTGAAACCAGGTCATTCTAGCTGCAGGCTGGACACTTATACATTAGTCTGCTTTGTAGAAATGAAAATATTTCTTGATATAGTAAAGCTAAAGTAAAACAGGAATAAATAACAGCTGAGAACAGAGAGATTGTTTCAACAAGGGAAGCCTTGTGGGAAAGATTGGACTGGGATTCAGGAGATGTTGGTTCTAGTCCCAGTTCTGTCATTAATTAGTTATATCCCTTGGGCAAATCACTTTTCCTCTCTGTCTTTCTTCCTTTAACTTCAAAATAACAGTAGAATAAAAGATTTGTTGTTCATTCGTTTCAGTCATGTCCGACTCTTCATGACCCATTTGAAATTTTCTTGGCAAAGATATTACAGTGGTTTGCCATTTCCTTCTCCAGCTCATTTTACAGATGAGAAACTGAGATACACAGGGTTAAGTGACTTGCCCAAGGTCACATAACTAGTAAATGTGTGAGGCCAGATTTGAACTCATGAAGATGTGTTCCTGATTCCAAGTTCATTTGGGATTGGAAAATTTCTAAAGGTCCTTCTAGCCATGAAACTTTGTGATTGGAAGCAATGTGTATTCTCGAGGAACTTATGGTTGGGGGGAGAGGCAGAAATAATATACAAGGTCTTTCCCGTTTAATTCATAAGTATAGGCAGTTCTGGAAATAATTTTGTTGTTTTGTTAAAGACATAATAGTAAATTTACAGTACTTCTTATACATAATACATCAATGCCAACAGGACACATTGAAAAATACTAAATACTGAAAATAATCAGAATCTTTCCTATTTTTATTTTGTAATTTCTTCCCCCTCATTTAATTCAGATTTTTGAATCTCAAGAAGTGATTATAGCAAGTTCTAGTCTTATAATTCCTTGTCATACATTTTACATTTCTGCATACCCCAAAATCTGATATACTGCTTGAATTGCATATGATAACATTAATTGTAAACAACTCTCCATGCATCTTAGACCTTTAAGATGTAGATGAATAGGTGACATAAGGCACAAAGAAGATTCATGAAAAATACCAAAAATATTACACTATCCATCTAACCCAATGGGATAGATGATGTTCTCCTATCTCAACTGACATTAGCTACTAGCTTGGGTCTCCCTTCTGTCAAACAACCTTATTAGCATTATTTCCATTCTTAAATCCACACTGCTTTCTTGGTTACAGATACTTATACTCCTATTTAAGTTTAAAAAAAAAGTAGCACCATTTAAGTAATACAGAAAGTTGTATTCTGCATGCTGGTCTTAGGTAATTATAAAATGAGCAAAAAGTTGTCTTTATTAACCATTTGTACCTTTGCCACACTCCCTTCATTTCAGTAACCTTTCCTACCTCTATTTTAAGGGGAAATTCCTTTGTGAAAAATTAATATCGCTTTTTATAATGGTGTTTTGAGGCTTGCAAAGTATTTCATATATTTGATAACTCATGTGTTATCAACATTTTAATTTATCAGAAGTTTGTTATAACAAAGTCACAATCAATATCACCTCATACCTATTTCTTCTTTTCCTCCTTCATTTTCCATCCATTCTAGCTCTCTCCTCTATGCCCCAACCACTCTAGTCTATTTCCTGTCCACTACACATATCCCATCCATTCCTTCCTCCTTTCTTTTGGTAATGTTCATCTTTATTTCTAGAATGCTCCCCTTGGTCTTCTCTGCTTTTAGAAATCTTACCCACCACACAAGACTCAACTCAAGTGCCACCACCCCCTGAAGCCTTCCATTGTCTCTCTAATCAGAAATGATCATTCAAATGTGGGAAGCACCAGGATAGGAGAATTCCAGATATACCACAATCATTCCATTAAGGATTAGAGATACACCAAACTACTAAGCCAAGAAGGGAATGACATCTAGACTTCCTCCTACCCAAACCGGGAATCCAGACAGAGATTCTTGAAATCCTTTGATAATCCTAGAATGGTGAAGTCACCAGGTCAAGAGCCAAGTAAAGAAGGTGGAGTGTGCAGGCAGTCCCCTGGGAACCTTCTAGGCAGTCTCAGTCCTCCCTCCATGAGCACCACAGTGCCCAGACCTAGTCAAGCTCAAGCTTTCCAAAGGTCCTTGGCTACAGGAGAGTGACTTCGGGCATCCTCAGAGTCCCAGCACAGGTGTGATACAGGTGGGTGCACAGCACAGGAATGACCGCTGAGC